AATTGCAATGAAAAACAGAGAACAAGAAAATGAGTATTCTTATTGTGGTATCTAGAAACTTGTTCTCCCAGTGGAAAACCTGCATGCATCGAAATATAGGACATCGTAGTGAACAATTTGAATAATATTCTTATTGTAGTATAGTGAGAGCAGAATATAGGGCACAAACCTGTAGGGTTGGAATTTTGCATTGCAGAGACTACAGGTGCTTATACAAGTTCTTAAACCTCCTAGAAAAAGGTACTTGCATTGGGCAAGGTATCTTTAATTATGACGTTTGAAGTTTGATCACTGCCCGTATTCTCGCTTTAACCACCCACGGAGCAGGAAGAGGTTCCTGCATTGGACGTGCACCGAAATAATCTAAACATTTATGGAAGGAAAAGTGGTCTGATTTTACATAACAGATGGAGTCAAATAGTGTCTCCAGCCAGATTAGTAGCAGTTTACTGATTCACTTCTATGTAGAAGTTATGTCTTGTATGAGCAGATTGGGGTGGGTAATGGGTCCCAGAAATTTCAACACTAGATCTAAGTGATACGAAATTAACTCATTAAATAACTATTGTTCCCAATCATGCACAAGAAAACGGTCACAAATGACATACGCGAATGTAATCATCGATCATTCCCACGGTCCCATCTCGTCCTGATTGCCAGTCACAATATTATGCAAAGAAAATTTGCATGAAGCAACAAAACAATTGATGTTTCTAATGGAACTCAGGCTGCAAGTGGACGCGGGCTGTCCGCGGTGCCCACGTCCAAGCCCACATAATTTACGATCGTGGACACCCACAGTTAGAGCACCGAGAGATGCGGATTATGTGGGATGTCCCGCGGCGCCCACATCAAACCCACATCCCTTCTGAGTCGAACGTCAGTCGTGCGGATTAGCCCGATTATGACATGCCGCCATGGCCGCGGCGCCGCCGTGTACCTTCCCCATGGCCGCCCAGCGCCGCTGTCCAACTCCGCCATGGACGCCGTAATGTCGTCGTCAACCTCCTCCATGTACAGGTGCAGTTCAGTCTTCTTCTTCCCCTCTCTCATCTGTGATTTATTTCCTATCGACTACTACATCTTCAGCCAATTTCCTCTAAATTGTTCAGAGCAAAGCCGATTCATTCTACCCTGTTGAATCACGTATCATCTGTGGCCTGATAATGCGAGTCAGTGGTTGTGGTATCTTCCCTCCTTATCCAATCCTCCTTGATTTCTTCTTCTCTCAAGAACGCCATGAAGAAGCTCGCTGCTTCAAGGAACATCAGCTGCAAGCAAGCAGATTGCACCCTGCTCACCTCTTATTTTGATCTTATAACAGTGGCACTTCTAAAATCATTTTCGATGTGATTCTTCTACTGAAGCGACGCCCGCCGAACCACTGAGCTGCGACTTCGTGGAGGCAGAGGATTACCACTCCCAGATAAACAAAAGTACTACAAAAAAGATATAATTTGCAGTGTCAACTCTGAAGATTCTCCACCTGATATAATGAAGCCTGAACTTCTCTGCTCCTTCCATGTCCATTGCAAAACAGAAAATATAAGCTTGAGCCTGTGATTTACATAGGGATTACGTGGGATGTGGGATGCCCACTTATCCCGTGAAAAATTATGTGGACATATGCTGGATCCCACTAATACTACGGGGCAGATGTGGGCGTGTTTGCGGGCTCCTGCGGAACGTCCCACTTGCAGCCTGAGATCGAACGCAACATATGTATCCCCTCGTCCAAGCACGGCCATCTTGAACCACAAGGATGTGCAGATTCACAATTCTCCAATCCAATGGCAGACACTGAAGCTAATCAAAATCAGCAGCAGTCGCGGTCACCACTCTCACGGCATTCCACACACGTGGCATGAACAGCACGCGTCGAACACCTTGCCGCATATGCAATCAAAGGACGCAAGAGGGAAAACAGGCGAACCGGGAGCAGAGCTGCGCTCACCTCGGGGTCCTCGAGAGGCTGCGCACCCGAGACCTCGTTGGCCGTTGCCTGAGACCTCGTTGGCCGTTGGCGCCCGGAACCAGTCGACGGTCAGCACGGTCCGAATCAGGCGCTGCCTGGCCTCCCGGTGCTCCTCGTCCTCGTAGTCGATGTTGCCCTCCTCGTCCTCCGACTCGAAGTTGCCGCCCCGACGGTCGCGGGCCCCCCTGCCATGCGGCCCTCCAGCTTGTCGTCATCCTCCTCTCCCGCGGACACCCACCGCCACTCCATGGATGGCGCCTTCCGCATGCCAGCCGCCATTCCCGAGCTGTGGCCTCGATCAGATCGAGAGACGAGAGGACGGGGCAAGGCCAGGGAAATCCTCCCGCCAAGCTGAGCGGCTGCGGAGGATGATTGGATCGGCGGGCGGCGAACGGCGTGGGAGGCGGCGGGAGGATCGGCGCGGGAGGCGGCCCGTCCGTGCTGTGGCGAACGGCTGGCGTCTGTTGGGAGGAGGAGGAGGAGTGGCGAAAGTCGTGCGGGCGTGGTGCGCAGCGGTTTTTTTTTTCTGAACGGCGGACAAGGTTAGTGATCGACGGATTACCGGCTTAATTCGGTGGCTTATAGCGTTAAACATGAAAAGATTAAGAGCCATTAGATCTTGCTAATGGATAGATCTGATTGTTTGGTTCTCCGCCCTCTTTTTTTTTATAGGGGTAGTAGATAATGCACCCAAATAATTTTTGTTGACGCAATTGTTACGATTTGCTTCTTTGCACACTAAGATATTAAGTTTGGCCCCAAAAAAATTGCAAACCCACCAGTTGACCACTTGTCATCCAAACAACCAACTTAATCTGCATCGAAGAAGGCATTAACAAGAGTTGAGGATGACTAACCAAAAGTTTTTTTCTCCGTGAGGCGAATACTAGGTGACTTAGGGTTAGGCGGTCCGTCGCCGATCGCCTCCCCGACGGCAGCGCGGGCGCCAACATTTATTGCCCTAGGACGGTGCTTCTGAGGTGTTGTGGCTGGTTTAATCACCGTAGCGCCCATGAAGGGAAAGGACCTTGGTGGGCGTCCATGTTATTACGAGACTTGGCCAATTAAATCTTGTAGTTCGGTAAAATTCTGAAATCTCAAAGGCCCATTTAAATTGTATGGCAGATGTGCAAGTTTAATTAGTGGAGTGAAAGAAACATCAATATAAAAGGTGAGTTGTTCTACTATTTCTTGTAGCGTGAGAAAAGAGAGCAATAATACTGTGCTCACTCACCTCATGCCACACAACGCACACGCGCGCATTTCCTGAATTGGGTTTGAGTACCAATTTGGGCTAATATTATACGCGCCTTGTTGTAAGAACTAAATTAATACGCGAGAATAGTCCTTCGAAACCGCACTCCTTGAGAAGCTGCACTGGGTGAGAGACGGTAAAGTTTTTGGGAGCATCTTGGTGAGATTGCTCGCTCAAGTTCCACTATATCCTTGATGCTCGTCCGCCTACTTCATCTATGACAGCCACCACCATGCCTGAAGACGGTGCCACATCAAAGTTTTCAGTGCCCTCTCTCTTTTGACATGTGTCATTGATCCATATGCGTATGCGCTAGATGTTTCTATATTATCCTAAAACTTAATTTAAACATCATCCTAAAACAATAATTAAATATCTATACTTAATAATAATAAAGGGGCTATTGCTTCTTGCGGTACGTCACCAAAATGCCCCTAAATTCGCAAAATATTACCCCCCCCCCCCAATGCCACCTATAAGTGATAAAAAACCGTCTCACGCAGGAGAATCCTGGCCTGGGCCAGCCCATGCAGCAGAAACCTTCTATACTGCGCTATGCGCGCCGGGAGAAGACACAAAGCGCCCATTTGGGCCGGCCCATGTCCGGGAGGCCTGTTTTTAAATGTCGTTTTTTATTTTTCGTCTTAGTTTTTTTCTACTTTAAATAATTTGGGACTTCAAAAAAGTTTAGAAAAAATAAAAAATGAACATTTTGAAATAAATTTTTAATATTTCATAAATGTTTATGGATTCAGAAAATGTTCGTGATTTTTAAAAAATGTTCGCATATTAAAAAAATTGCAATCTCGAAAACAAATGTTCAGGAAATCAAAAAATGTTCATGATTTTATGAAAATGTTTGTATATTAAAAAAATTAATGAAATAGAAAAAATTCGCTAATTCAAGAAATGTTCATGAACTGAAAAATATTCCAGAAATTCAAAAACTGTTCCTGACTTACAATATAGTTTATTGATTCATTAAATGTTCACTGATTTAAAAAATGACCATGCATTTCAGAAAATGTTCCTAAATAAAAAAAGGGTCGTGAATTTCAAAAATTGTTCCACCAAAAAATTTCCAATAAAATGTTCCTCGTTTCTGGAAATGTTCTCCTATTGAAGAATTTTTTTTTGAAAATGATCACAATTTTAAGATATTTTTGCAAATAGTATAAATGTTCATGAATTCAAAAAATGTTCATTGTTTCAAAAAATGTTCAAAAATCTGTAAAAATGTTCATGAATTTATATTTTTTTCACAATTTCAGATAGGTTCACGAGTTTAAAAAGTATTCATGATTTTCAAAAATTGTTCACAATTTCAAGAAAATGAGAGTGATAGTGTATCTCGGTGATGCAGCAAAACGTGGTCATGATGGGGATATTACGATTATTCTGCAAGATAAATTCAAATTTTAGTTCAAAATTTCATATATTTTTTCAAAAATCCTAGAAAAAATCTAGTTAATACTACATGTTTTAAGTAGTAACATGGGAAATTCTGAGCTTATTTTGACAACAAGGTTGGGACATCATGTTTTTTTTTTAAAAAAAGAAAGCTTAGCTTTCTCACTGTTGACTTTAGTCTACCCTTCATTTTCTTCCTAGATTCGCCACTGTTTGGCGGTCTCCCTCCCGGCCATACTAATATTTGTGTATATATACTGTTTCCATGGTTGCGTTCTCTTTTTTCTGCTGCCGAGACCGAGGAGAGAGGAGGCAAACCAACGGAGAAAGCAGAGACAGGAGCGGAAGCAGCAGGCAGGCATGGAGGGAGGAGGGAGCAGCTGGGCGAGCATGGAGGGCTATCTGAACGAGTACTTCCACATCCCGGCCAAGAACCCGCCGAGCGACGCCCGCCTCCGGTGGCGCCGCGCCGTGGGGCTCGTCGTCCGCAACCGCCGCCGCCGCTTCCGCGAGTTCTCCGCCCTCGGCGCCATCGACGACGCCCAGCGCCGCAGGATCCTGGTACGCACGCACGCTCCTTCGCGCACCCACCATTTCCCTCCCTCCCCGTTCCAATCTCCGGCCACCGATCGCCGCGGTCCCAAAGAGGCCAGCCAGGCCAACGCCGCACGAATGGTTCGCGCCGTCGCTTTCGCTGAGGCTTGGTTCAAAGCCTTTGCGAAAGTGCCAGGAAACTTCGTCCTGAGTCCTGACTGCGTGCGTCGGTGACCATGGGTCGTGACAAGGATATGCATGTGTACGTCCCGGTCTCATGGTGGAAATATTCCCCAACTCGCAGCATGGGGTGTCGCGTCGCTCTTCGTTTGAATTGAAGTGTGTCGTGGGAAGGTGGCTTGGATTCTGCACGCACGCGTACGACCTAGCTTGCACGTTTCGCCTTCCCTGGCTTGAATCCTTCTCGACCTCTCGTGGCCGAAGGCGTGTGCGTACTGTGTCCGTACCGGCCGGCTGGCTGGCTTTGCACGACCAGAGAAAAATTCATGGTCAACTCTGCCACGAGTAGTTGGGGGCGCGCATGATGGGCTCATTCTTCATCCCTCGGAAAACAACTGCGCAACCTCAGCTTGTGACATGGAATTCAATTCAAGTTGAGGTGATACAAGCATATACAGTACTACCTCAACTTGCATCACCTCAGTTCTATTATTATTGTAACACAGTAGGGTAGGTGACGGCGCGGTCCATGCCCACTGTTATGTCCTCTGTTATTATTCAAGAGAAAATGAAACATTTTTGGACCGGTCCTGTTTGCGGACGTTTAGAAATGGTCTCTCGACTTCAAAACCAGAAAACCTAGGCTCTCAATTTAAAAATCAGATACTTTGGATTCCTTAAACACACTTTGGTGATTTCGGGATGATGTGACCCCTTTT